TTTGCTTCCCCCTACACCTTGTATTTATGTCATGAATGAAGAACACGTTCCTGTATCTGAAATTTCCTGGGAACGTGCGATTTGCTGTGCACAAAGCAAGCAGTACATGCATGTATACTTCTGACAGGGAATTATGGACAGAAGGACATGAGCACAGACAGGGTCTTCTCCTTCTGTTGTGGTGCCTTGTAAATCTGAGACCTTCTTGCTTGCCACATTGTCTAAAACTCACTGCTTTATCTTCCAAATTTTCCAGTAAGTTCAGTCTTCTTGGTTTTGCTTTTAGCAATTCAGGTTGCTAAGTGATGGCAACACAGTTATCTATTGCCCAGCAACTTAGAGGCAGTAGATGGCTCTGGCTAGCTGACTCCCTAGCAAGTGAGCTTGAAGAAATTAATATTCTTTGTTTCATATATTTAGGAGTCGCAATGGGATCCTGCAATCAAAGTTTTCTTTAATTACTAGTCACAGGAACAGTTTGATAAAGACCAGAATATGTTGGATATTCATGGGTAGCATTTTTTTTCCTCAGAAATGAGCTTTGATTTCTGAATACAGAGCGATGAGGCAAAGCGATAAATGGAATAGATAACTTTGTTTGCTGCTAATAATTTATCAGCTCTAATCAGGGTGAAACATATCCATTAAAATGTGTGCGGAAATGTGATGATAGCATTAGGAGTGCCTCGCTATTGTTAATTCATTCAGCACTCAGTGTAATAGCACTAATCATAATTAACTCCTCTAGTACTAATATGGTTGTCATACAATATGTACAGTATTTGCATGAGAATTCCACTCTAGATTCTCATTAATTAAAACACCATAAAAATGTCAGTGCTTTAATTTGCCTTATGCTAAGTACTACAAGGCTTCCAAATTTTTCCTCTTAGAATTTATCAAAATACTGCTGCTACATTAATTTTAGCCAGAAATAATAGTTTGTAACCACCTATTTATCAACTTATTACTTTAATATTTAAAGCTCTTTCATTTTTCAGGGCATTTGCATTTGCTAATGGACAGAGAAGGAACATTAGCTTAATATAGTAATGTCTGAGGTTCTATTAGGCCAAATGTCATCAATTTTCTGAATAGGTTTCGCTACCATTCTTCATAAAATGCCTATTTTCAGAGCTTCCTCCCCCAGGGACAGTGGATCCCTGAGGGGCCAACAGTGGCAGATGCTTCCCAGGGTTCCTCAGGGTCCCACCACCCCAGCCAAAGGTAGGCCATCAGGTGCACTGGGACACAGCAGAAGCTGTAAGCACTAACATGGCTGAGTGAGGTGTGGAGATTTCAGTTAAAAACAGTGCTGTGTGCCTGAGATCTCCCAGCAGTGCTGTCAGAGCCACCAGGAACAAGGGGCAGCCCTGGCTGAACTGTCCTCAGGTTGGCCCTGATCTCTGGCAGCCCACCCTGCAGGAAGAAATATGGTCTGAGGCCTTTACCTAGGCATTTTTGAAAGTGAAGTAAAAAGGCAACTGGCTGTTGTATCAGTGGCTTTAGTGCTCTATGCAGCTACACCTCTGCAGAAAGTTATTGTGAGCTCTCTGAAGGTCTTTTCATTGCCCCTTGGCTTCTCCCAAGCCTCCATGTTGCTATATAGCTTTGATGAAGTTGGCTTTCAGTTGGCTTATGGAAATCTATCATCAGAGCAACAACACTGAGAAATTCTGAATTTTCTTAGTCCTTGGTAGCAGCAAAAACTGGTAGCTACAAGGTGAAAATGATGCTATTCACAAGTTACATATGCTTTGGATATGGTTACAACAGCATGGAAAAGGAATGGTTGTGTGCTTTTTGTGTTCACATCAGTGTCCATCAGACCTTCTGATCAGCTATGAACAGTCTATGGGATTGACATAATGTACTTCTCAGAAAGTCTTCTAGAAGCTCTGATTCGGCTCTTTTCCACAGGAGTTTTGCTGTTAGATTGAATAAAGCATGATGTTACTTACTGCCTTTGGCAATGGCAACATGAGCAAAGGACACATGGGACGAAGTAGTCTAAAAGAAGTAGCACTTTGGTATCTAAAGAGCAAATCTATATTGTGCATTGAGCCTTGGCCAGCTGGAGGCTTGCCCTCTTACAGGGGTCACATTTAGTTTCCTCGTTCTTGTATTTGTAGCTCTTTGACAGCTGAAGAAGACAGAGGTTTCCTGGAAGGTGATTGAGAGATGCAAAGTATCCTTGTGTCTTAACATCATGGTGACATTAAGATTCATAATGTGATTCCCTCTCTGGAGTAATTTAGTTTATTCTGCTCACTGCACGGATACCTTAACTATAGGAAATACCAAGTTAGATGGTGTGAATGTGGTGATAAAACAATGATCTTGCTGGTATACATAGGGAAGGCTGTGCAAGCATGATCCTAGTATGATGCATCTGAAAATTAGTTTGTGGGCTGCTAAAGGAGTTGAAGTGCTAAGAGTCAATTCCTACAGTTTAAGTCTGTGACAAAGATATCTTGTTATTCAAGACCTTAAAAAGTCATTAGATGAATCTTAATTCCTCAGCCCAAATGCAAGAATTAAAAAAATCTCAGGGTGTAGAAGAAATGCTAAGTCAGGGCTTGAAACAGCGCTTGAACATCTGATGGGAAGGCAGAGCCAACCTGGAGGAGCTTAGGTGCATGCAATGCATCTGACTGACCAGACCTCATTTGAGGGTTGGCAGTGGAGGCAAGGGTATCTTGATGGAGATCCATGTGTACTTGAGGTCATTCTGAAGATAAGTACATTCTTTCCTTTGTTTCTGTGGCTGTTGCATTTGAGCATATCCTCATTTGCTGTAGCCTAGGACCTTGCTACTCTGCTGCCTTTGCTGCATTTTCCGTTGTGTTACACAAGGATTTTCTTACTTGTTTTTAATTCTTGTTACATTTTAGTTCTTCAGAATATGTTGTTCTGCCACTCAGATATGAAAGCTGGATAACGTGGTTTCCAAATTATCTAAAGAATCCTGGGGCTGAAAGTAAAGCATTGAACTGCCTGTAGTCACACAGCAGGCTGCTTCAGGGCAAGACTATAGTATAAAGTTCAGAGTGAGATGTTTAAACCTGATGTGGTAAAGATGCAGCTGTTACAGCTGGTGTTGTATCTTGAGTGACTTGATTGGCATGCAGTACCTGGATGGTGCCGGTAATCTTGGTCCAGGAGGCTGTATCTCCATACAGTTCTAGAAGAGCTACTTCTCTATACTTTCCTAAATGTCAAATGTCCTGTTATGATGTTTTAATAGATGTGACAATTATTGCTATAGAAGCACATAAACAACATGAAATCTAGAAGCTCTTTATTTTCAGGATCTGCAAGCCAGCACAGGGTTAATTAAAATTCACGTTTTTTTTTATTTTCATGCTACCTCATTTATATTCAGAGCATGTCCTAGGCAGGTTTATTTTGATAGATTGTTATCCACAATAAATTGAAATACCTTTCACAGTGCTTCCTGTAAGATAAGAAAAAATTACTGTAGTTATATTCGTAAATCCTAGGTGAATATGCCAGTAGATTGATTTATGCTGTAGGTTTCCACCTTAATTTAAGCATGCTGAAATGAGCCTGAAGCTTAATCGTTTTTATCAGCTCTCTAAGAAAATACTGGAAATTATTAATTGATCATGTATGTTTAAATATTTATACAGCAGTAAAATAATCATTCTTATCACCAATACACAACATCCATCCATCAGTTCAGGCATTTGCTATTCTCTTTATTTTCTTTTCCCACAGGGCAGTTTGTGACATGATTATAGTATGTCTATGGTATAGTATTATACAAAGAATACTGTTTTGATGCCAGTGCTATTAAAGTAGCTCTATATTTGTGCTGACACTTGTATCAGACCAAAGGGCTGAATAAATGGCAGGTCCCAGAAAAAGGCCCCAAATCTTGTACAATGAAATGTGAAAAAGAGATCTAAAGGACCTTGTCCAAGAGAGATATATCTTTCTGAATATAAGGAAATATACAGGAGAAAATCTTAGAATTGCAGCATCCTTAGAGTTGGAAGGAATCTCTGAAGGCGGTCCAATCCAACTCCCCTGCAATGAACAGGGACACCACAGCTAGATCAGGTTGCCCAGGGTCTGATCCAACCTCACCTTGAAAGTCTTCAGGGACAGGGCATCAACTGTGTCACTGGGCAACCTGTTCCGTGCCTCACTACCCTCCCTGTAAAATGTTTTTTTTTCCTTATATGTAACCTAAATCTACCCCTCTTTGAGCTTGAAACTGTTTCCCCTTGTGCTATCACCACAGACCCTGCTGAAGAGTCTGATCTTGATCTCACTCGTGAGTCCACCATTATTCCTATCCAATTAGGTTTTTACTTGTGGTATTTTTCCTTAAGAAGTTACAGTTTGCAAAGGCAAAAAAAAAAAAAAAAAAAAAAGAAAAAGTAAGTATAAAGGGGAAAAAAAATGTAGCCAGAACTTAAATATAAATATATGTTTAAATATATAAAATCTTTTTGCTCTCTTTTTCTACACTTTTATACAAGATGCACTTTTGCATGCTTCAGGGAGATTTGTTTTAGGGGGCAATAGAAAATGTGAGAATCCTATCCTATGTTTAGCTGGTATTGCTGAGGCATAAACATAACCAGTCACTGGCATCCGATTTCCAAGCAAAAGTTGATAAAATGTCTTCCCCTAGTGTGAAAAGCTCCTCAGGGACTGATAGCAATCTGATCTGGTTTAGGTCACCTAAGATATGAACAGTCTCCTAGAGGATCTCTTCTCCCTCTGTAGGCTACCAGAGTGCCCAAACAGTTGTTCCAGCATGGAGGTATTTAAGTATCTGATAAGGTGGCATGCAACTGGGCCTACATCTGCAAAATGTAAAGATAACTTTTTAAAGACTTGTAAAAACTTTTAAAGCTTATGAAGGATGGATCATTCTAGTGGTTGGTGAGCCAGATCAGTCAGGTCTACACATGGCCAGACCGGGTTCTCCTCGGGGTGAAATTTAAACTCTTTGTTTCCCTCAGGTCTTCCTTAAAGAACTGTCTCTTCTCAACTCCGTACAACATCCAGCACAATGGGATTTGAAGCATGAGGTAAGCTTTTGTATGCTGTCATAGAAACACTAATAATTTCACATTCAGACTTCCTTTTATATGTAAAAGTGTTGTGTTTTGAAGCTGTCTTCTCATGCAGCAGAGAGGCAGAGCCATGCAATTTTTACACGCTCCCTTGTCATGAGGAGCTTGTAACACATAAGCTGGAGAAAGCTGAAATGCTGGAAGAGTTTGTAAGAATCCTGACAGAAAATTGATGTATTTAGAATTCTTCCTACTGTTTTTACTGGCAGCCAACTTACGTTCATTTGTGAAAACTCTTTTTTCTAAATTGGAATAAGGCTAGTGATTGACACAGATTGGCTGCTTGCTTAAAATCTCTGTCAATGAGGAAGAGGCCTTTTGATATCTTATGCTGAGCAGGGATTTTCCTATTTTGAGAGTCAGAAGTTTGAATCTTGAAAGCATGGTTTGTGTTCAAAAAAGTGTTTCTCACAGTGTGACACGTTTTTAAATTCTGTGCTCTAATGTGTTTTTTGAGTTCCTATCTGCTTAGAGCTATTGCTGAGAAAACAGGGTTTTGCTGCTGCAGAACTCATGTAATGGCAGAAGGGCAAAAGATATCTACTTTGCCTTTTGCAATATCAGTACAACTATAAGAAAGTCCAGAAATATACAGTTAATGAAACTTGTTTTCTCTTCCTTTTTCCTGTGCCCCAGTAATGAAATGAGCTTGGTTGCCTAGCAGGTCCCTACTTGTCTATTTGAATTCCACAGGGATCAGATCTGATGGGGTAAATACTTACTGAAAGTTGCATAACTGAGATACTGTATTTCCTTTCTGGGGCTGTTTGCAATTTTTGAAGAGATGGAACCAAGTTTGGTAGGCCTGACTCATTGTTTTTGTATATTTCTTTCCCATTTATAAGCTTTATACAGTCTTTTATGTACCTGTTTCATACTTGTTCTCAAACCCAAAGGTGGGCTTGTGAGAATGATGGTTTATTTATCTCTCCTATCAGCAGGACCAAAGGAGATATAACATCTGCCCATCAGCCTTGTCTATATTCTTATCGTGCCATGGATAAACGGGAAATCTTGCAAGATTTTTTTTTGCCTTAAAAATTGCTGTGTACTAAAAAAAAAATATGGTGTGATGTGTGTCTTATGTACTGATCTTGTTGTCAACTTTTAAAAGTATTTGTGTCTATCTGCTTGGACCCATCTAAATGCATTTACTTAGCTGAAAAATTGTACGGCCAATTCTTAGTAAGAGTGATGTTGGTAGATACCATTTAAATATTTCACAATATTGCAATCGAAATAAATTGTGAGCCTTTTATCCTTTTGAGTACTTCAAAGCTTGGTTGTCTGTATCCTACCTACCCTTTCTTTTCTGAGATAACCCAATCTTAATGGGGGACTGTATTTTGATGGTATTTCTGGTATACTTAAGATCATGCAGTAGGAAGCAGGGGTTTTTCAAGCTCCTTTCTGGTATGGTCTACTTTTATAGGTGTCTTCTGCAAAGCTCTGCATACTACAGCCCTACTTTGTTTTGTTTTTTTTTGCTGTGAGAAGGCATTAACACTGCTGGAGATAGAGACCGAGTCATGATAGGATTTGCACCACCGTGTTGTGAAATTCTCCTGCAATATTGTCTGTGGAATTGGCCACTCACATCCAACAGCACATATGGAACAAAAGATTTTTGAGAGAAGGACTGCAGTACTGCTATACAAATAGGGGATCCAAAATCTTGGCTTGCCTGGAAAATGCAAGCTGAGTAGTGATATTGTAACAATCTATAATGATGCAGATTGCTCTGAAAGTAAAGCCTTTTCTTTATTTCCATCATTAGCCATGCATTTTCACCAGCAATGACCAAGAACCTCCATGCAACGCTTTAAAAAATAAAAATAAATAAAATAAAAAAACGGCACCAGTGGAGGTGACTCTGTTTCACAACAACATTGCTAGGAAAGTGTTGCCCGTGCAGTCCACTTTTCATTGACACAAACAGAAGTCAGAGGTTTCCAAATCTGGATTATTTGGTGGGTATGGTAGGACAGTCTTCAAGGCCAGGTTGGATGGGGCCCTGAGCAGCCTGGTCTAGTATTAAATGTGGAGGTTGGTGGCCCTGCCTGTGATGGGGAGGGGGTTGGAGATTCATGATCCTTGAAGTCCCTTCCACCTGGGCCATTCTGTGACAGTCCAGCCAAGATTAGCAATGGTCTCCTCAGTTTTCAAACTGGTATGGAGTTTGGTGTTATTGTGCTGTGTGAGAAAAGTTGCTGTCTTCTTTGGCCTGACTCTGGAAGTTCAAGCCTTCAGCTTAGTCAGTGTCAAAATGTAGCAGTTGGAGTTGATGGTTTGTCTGGGTTCCAGGGAAACCATAAGGATCACCCCTTTCCTATCACAAAAGACATTCACTGCACATCACTTTACCTGCTGAGGCTTGTGTCTTCAGCTTCTTTGGTGGAGAGTTCACATGTTACCACTCCATGGACTGCTGCTTTGATTCCAGCTTCTAGTAGTGACACCATGTTTTCTCAATGGTAATGACGTGATCCAGGAAACTGTCACCTTCAGCATCATGTAAGTTCAGTATGTCCTGAAAACCTTGTATATGGTATTGATTCTCTTCCTGTGTGAACATTTGTGGGACCCACCTGCTACAAAGTTGATAAATTCCAATATTGCCATCGTTGTTTCCAATGCGTTGGTGCTGATGCTCATTTCTGTATGTGGTTCCCTGGTTGTAATCCAAAGATTTGCATGGATGAACTGATCAAGACACTTTTTATTTTGTGGTGTAACAGCTGTGCATGTCTGTTCAGAACATGGCTTGTCTTTCACATCTCTGACACCACTTGCGAAACTGGTCATCCACCACCTCACTGTAATCACACCCACTATTTGGTCTCTATAACTGTTCAGTAAGCATCAATTAATGTCAGTGGATGCAATTTTTTCCACGTGGAGGAATTCTGTGGCACCCTTTTGCTTCAGACACCCTTCCATATCAGATGCCATTTTGTCAGACTGCTCCTCCACTGTCATCTGCCACAGGGCAACAGCATGTAACAGGATACTGGTAGAAAGGTTCCACCTCTACTGCCTTACCATCAACATCCACCTCTGACACTGTGGACCAGCACACTAAAATAGGAGGCATTTCGTTCAGAGCAGCCTTTAGGCAGTTACTTGTAGTGTCTGTAAGGGAAAGTAAGTGTCATCATATAGAAAAGGAGGTAACTCATTCCTTTTCCAGAGCAAAAATACAGAGGTAAAGTGTAAGATTTTTAAATAGTTTATCATGTAGAAATAAAAAGAAGAGTGCTTTCTCCATGGACCTGGTTCTATGGGCTAGAGACAACAACTTCGTCATTTGAAGACCTTCTCTTGGGAAAGTTTGAGAACGTAGATGAAATCCTGATCATACTGAAATTAGAGTTTTTGGCACTGACATCGGTAAGGCTAATATTTTATCCCTTTTATTTTACAATAGTTCTGTGATCATAAAGTGCAAGATATGTACTTTTTACTATAGCTGCACATGAAAGCAGGCTTAGAGAGTTATGTATATACCTTTTGTAAAAAAAAAAAAAAAAAAGTGTATGGTTTCTTGGTTAATATACCGCAGGATTTGTTGGTGGGATATGAGCTAAAAGAATAAATTATTAAGAGACTATTGGCACTAGGAAAAATGTGTATAGTTGGGACCAGATGTTAAACTGGAGTTTCAAAATTAATATTCTGTGTGTAGAATGGTCATGCAAGCTGAAAGGCTTAAGCAAAATACAAACCTTCCGGCAGAGATGAAGAACTCAGGCCTTAGTCACTGAAAACTGGAAACTTCTCTCAGGGAATGCTTTCAAACTGTGAAATGGAGATAAGAGCATTCCTTTTATTCTCTTTTCTTTTTTTCTTTCTTTTTCTTTCTCTGTTTTTTTTTTTTATTTTTTTTTATTTTTTTATTTTTAATTCTTTATTATTTCTTTCTGTTCAGGCCAAAGACTGGTAGTAATTTATTTATGTGGACTTTGTTATGAAGAGCTGTTTGTGGGAACTCACAGTACAAGAATTCACTGATATTAACCAAGACAGCACTTCTCTGTAATGTATTTCCTAAGGAAAAATGGAACTGAAGTTCTGAAGTATAGTAAGTCAGATGTTTCTCAGTGTCTCATGTGCTTCATACGATATTTTAATGAAACAGTAGTGTATTTCTGATCATAGTGATCATAGTACAGAAACCACATAACTAGAAAAGTAATTTCTGTTGTAACAGGAACAAAGGTGTAGCAAACTGTTTAAATTCAGTTGTTTTGAAATAGAACTGGCTTCTTTCATGGATGGTGCCTTTATGAGTTGCTAGTTTGGTCCCTGGATGGTCTACTGCTTGAAACATAGACTTCCTGCATGGTGTTTTTGTGTTTGCCTTCTTTGCATCATTTCTTCTCTAGTATTTCCCTTGTTTCCTTTGTTTCTGATTTTTCTTTAATTTCACATTCATTTCTGTATTTTCATTCCCTACTAGTGTTGCTAACATCTGAGATTTAGTTCAAATAAATGCATGTGGTGTATGTGGATGTTATGGTTATTTCTCTCTCTCATGCAAAGGGACACAGACACAGAATGAGAGGAAGATGGAACTAAAATTCCAATTCTTTACTTTAGAAATTTTCAATAATTCAAACTAAAATACCTGCTTCAGATCTTTCCCACATTATCCATCGTGGAGCATCACAGAGGGACAGATTTGCTTAGGTTGGAGGGGACCTCAAAGGTCATCTAGTTCCAAGCCCCCTGCTGTGGGCAGGGCTGTCACCCTCCAGCTCAGGCTGCCCTGGCCCCCATCCAAACCAGCCTTGGGCACCTCCAGGGAAGGGGCATCCACAGCTTCTCTGGGCAGCAGTGCCAGGGCCTCAGCACTCTCGTGAAGAATTTCATCCTAACGTCTAATTTAAATCTCCCCTCCTTTAGTTTAAAACCATTTCCTGTGGCCCACTCCCTGATAAAGCATAATATAAAACACTTACCTCTGCACCAATGCTAATACACATGAATACAAATCCAATAATGCCCATTAAAAATAATAATTCCTTTCACAAATTTATGTATCAACTATATATTGCCCTAGGGTCAGCCAGTTAAAGTTTTTTTTTCTGATTATGTAATTCTCCTAACTTAATATCTTCATCTGAGATTATGATGATGATTTAAGGACTGATTTCTCTATCCTTGCAGACTCCTTCAGCTCCCTAGCTTGATAGTACTCCTTAATCTGCCATATTAAAAATGCTTGATTTCTGATTATACCAGAGTTTGAAAGTTGATTGTTATTTTCTCTATCCCCCATTCAGAGCACCTAAATGAAGTGGTCAGGATATCAAAACTGTGTATCAGTTAGAAGCTCAGTAAGGATGACACTTTTTTGAAAAGGGAAAGAGTCTTTTTCTCTTAATTAGGATGGCAACTCTCTTTTCCTCAAATGTCAACACCTAACATTGTGAAGAGACCAAAAATAATTGGGCCACTACACAGTAAATAACTGTGCAATATTACAGTTTTACAGAGCAAGAAATACTTTGCTTGTGCTTCACTTGGCTTTTGCTTTATGAGACAATAAAGTCCTGGCAAATAAATGCCGAGACCTCATCCCAAGGGAGCGGTGATGCCTCTCTGAAGACTTCTGCAGGGCTTGTTTATTACCTCATAAACTCAAAGCCAAATGAAGTTGTTATAATGTTACTTTGCATATAAATTATGCCTCCCCTGTCTATCTGCAGTTATGCATACTTCTTACTGCCTATATTTCTTTCCCTTCTGCCTGTTCTCCTTTACAGTTCTAGCTGCAGATGTTTTCCTTGGTGAGACTAGACCCCAAATATATGGGAAATGTCACTACTGCTAACTATACATGTTTACAAGTCAGAACTTGGGCACCAAAATCCTAAGGTAGAAACAGAAATCAGGACATGTTGCATATACCTTCTGGGATAGGAGTTGATATGTTATATCTATGTCTGTAAGTTTTCTCTCAAGATGTGTGGGCTAACAAATAGCCTATGTGGAAAAACAGAAAGGAAAATGGAGGCTTAATCAAGTATCTTTAGGGGCTCGGGCTTCAAGTACACTGTGAGATTTGATAGCACTGAATGTGTGTTCTTAATGTCTTACAAAGGAAAACGTCAGCCATGGGTGATCACTGAAATGAATGTCAGCCTTACTTCAAAGCTGACTGTAGGGAAGCTAGAAACCAAGTTGCTGAGGAAATGAAAGAGGCCATACAGGAGCAGATGGATTCTCCTGTCTGAACAATAAAAAACCACACAGGGCTCTCCCTGTCACTGTTAACACTGTTCAAAAATGCAAGAAACAAGGAAGTAGACACAGTTATTCCAGGTAGTTCGCAACTGTAGCAAGATATAATGAGATCATAGGATAATTAAG